ATATATATGAGTTCCTAAATCCAAAGGGAGGTGCAGACAGTGTTAAATTACTATTTCCAAGATTGTTATTGCTAAGACTCAAAAATCTAAATGTCCTAATTTAGACTAATTTCCAACATGAACATAAAAATATTTTTGAACTGTTAAAATAAATACATTTTAAGAAGAAATGTATTACATAATGTCAATTTTTGATCAGCATGTTTGATTACAGCGGGTTGTTTATTTGTGTTTCTAAATGCTGTGAAGGGACAGTTGTAGTGATTTTTTTTCTTTCTTTTTTTATGAATTTGAATCTTGTAATCCTAACCCTGTGAAGTTGTTTGTTTACCCACTGGCTGCCTGTTTGTAGCAGCTCTGTAGCTTCATGATTCTCTTCGCAGTAAACTTCAGACTCAAAGTTGTCTTAGGAATCACTCAGGTGACTAAAGGCTTTATTCATAGAATTACATGAAGCTCACACTTTACAGCAAGATGATTTTACACATTAAGTTTATTGAAGCCACTTGATTAAAACACATTGAGGTGAAAACTTTTCACAATTATTAAACTGTAATGTAAAGAAAAAGCATTAATTTGATTTGTAGCCACATAAATGTTTAATTTTATAAGAATAAAATCATTGAAGATATTCCAATATCTTAAACTCTAAAGAGGCAGTGGGGATGATCAGCTTTTCAATTAATAAAATATATATATTTTCCAGCAGAGCTTTGTAAAGTGGGTTTGTTCTGGTTCTTCTGACTTCAGGTGTGATGTGTGCAGTCTCCTCTGCTCAGAAGGACGAGCTGATCCTGGAGGGTAACGACATTGAGCTGGTGTCAAACTCAGGTTTGTCCGCCTACCTCTGACCTAATTTAATCTACATGTCACAGTTTTTGTCCTGACAGGGATTAAATGACAAATTGTCTAATCTTTCCTCAGCTCAGATGTAGCAGCTTTGTCTGTTTTGTTGCTGTGATGGGTTTATTGAATGTAAATTTAAAGAACATTGCCTTCCTCGTTGTGGAAGTAAAAACTTTAAAGGATCTTTAAAGAATAATGATTTAGGTTCTTGTTTAGGTAAAGACAACTAAGGTCACAAACTCCTGCATTATTTTATGTAAGCATTGTTTACTGTCACAATGTAGTCCTGTAAAACCCACTGTAGATTTCTGTTTTGTTTTGTTTGTTTTTATTAGTTGTTTTGACTCATGTTTTAATAACAGGCAGTTTGATCTCAAACGGACATTTCTGTGGAGTGACACTCATCAGCTCAACTTTTTTTTTTCCAGCTGCTCTGATCCAACAGGCCACCACAGTCAAAAATAAGGATATCAGAAAGTTCTTGGACGGCATTTACGTGTCTGAGAAGGGAACAGTGTTGGAACCAGAGCAGTAAAATTAGCATCTGAGGTTAGATGATGTCGTCGAAATCGGTCTTGTGTTCCTCAGGGAAACGTCTGCCTTTCTGCTTTGCATCTTTCTTTTCTGTATCTGGTCTTTGTGTTACAGAGATGTCTTGGTTTTATGTTTCACACTGACTTTACCTAAAACATCTGATGGGTCTGGGCAGTGTGGGCCGAGTGATACCGTTGAGACTTTTTACTGCCGAAAAGTTGAAATGATTTCTAGATTAACTGTGCTCTGAAGTGATTCATTTTAACTTCAGACAGCAGCTCTGTCACTGAGACAAATCAAGTAACAAATTCAATCTTTAATAAATTTGATATTTGCTAAAATTGTGAGATTAGATTAAATGTTTTACTATCATTTATTTCTATGAAATGATTTATTTTTACCTGCTGCCCAACCCTAAGATCTCTGCATCCATTTCTAATGTTCATCTGAATTTTCTCCTCAGCTTCCACCTTAATGTTTCTTCTTTAATCTTTAATTTTAAACACTTTTTCTCCTTGCTGCATGCGTCACTCACTCAGCCACTGAGGATTAAGCATGTTTTTCTAACCTCCCATTTGTTCTTAAATGAGGTCTTTGTTTTCACACTCGGCTCTTGTTTTTTTTTTTAGCGGCATTGATCCAACAGGCCACCACGGTCAGAAAGAAGGACATCAGGAAGTTCCTGGATGGCATCTACATCAGCGAGAAAACCACCGTGGTGGAGACGGATGTCGACTAAATACTCCCCTCCTGTTAATGACCAACAAAAAATAAAGTCCTTTTTCCAAGTTATAACATCTCTGTTTATTATTGCCTGAATTACTGTATACTGACCAGTTGAGTTAAAAAAATATCACAGTTAAGTCAGTTTGTGTAGCTTGATGCTCGGTGTACTGAATTAAAAACTTACAGTAGTAACAGACATCTGTGAAGAAATACATTTTTGCATTTTCATATTCACTATTTGATTTCTACACAACTCATATCAGCAGTTTTAAATGTTAACAGTAAGTCCATTTTATTACTAAGGAAAGGAAAATATTTTGTAATTTCCAGGAAATCCTGTGGATTGAGAGGAAATGTGAAACCGGCATCTATTTCTAGATTGAAAGTTTTCTGCCATTTGTTCAGTTTAGAAATGTAAATAAGCAAAAAAATTATTGTAAGCATTTTTATTTTTTAATGAGTAAACAGGTTTGCAATTTGCTTAAATTTTGATTGTTTTCTGGTGAAGTAATGTCCTGAGTTATGTATTTTCCCCAAGTATAAATACTGTGTAGAGCTAATAATGTAAAATTTATGTAAATTTTTAAGTATGCAAAAAGACAACTTTGCTACTGGAAAGATAAATAACAGGAACAAATGTGATGCTGGTGGTGACTATATTCTGAATTCTAAAGATTAGTCTCCCTAAATAAAAAAAAAAGCTGTTTTCCTTCAAGAAAATAGTTTAACTATAGTACAAAGTACTTGAAAAAAAATAAAGTTAAATTACATGAACAGAAAATTACTTTGGTAAAAAATAAACTTCATTTATGTGAACACTATTCAAGTAAAAGTCATAAAACTTCACAAAAATAGGGAAAGAAAGTACTTTTACACTAAGAAATAAACTGGTTCCACTAAATTGAGCAATATATGAATATTCACTCAGTTTCCTCAACTAGGCTCAAGATGAGAGCATAAATTTAAATTAAAACTAAAGAATAAATACAGAAAAAAATAAGGTTTTGAGTGATTTTATAATACTATTTAGAAAACCTGGCAGGTTGACGCACTCACGTTCTGACGCACACCAACCATCTTTCTGTGCGTCATCTCACAGCGACAAAACCGCTTCGCGCCAAGCAGCTGAAGGCTGTTTTATTTCTTATTTGTACTTTTTTTTGTTTAAACAGTGATTAAACTACGTGAAACGGGTCCAACATGGTACGTTAAACCTTTTAAAGCTTTGTTCGCTTAGACCAGAATCAGCGCAGTCTGAGTAAATAAAAACAAAATAAGTGCGTGAGACGCGCTCAGCTGATGAAACGCGCTGCATGTTAGCTGCAGCTAAATGAACACCAGCTTATCAACTTTTATATTCACATAAACAAGGACTACATTGTGCTTGAAATGCTTATGTGTGTTTTAGCTTTTGCTAACAAATAATAATAATAATAATAATAATAATAATGCACGAACCGCTGTGCGCTTATCAGAGTCGCGGTCTTATCTGACATTTGTAAAAGCATCTTGTCACCAATGAGTTTGTGTTTTATTGAGCACACCTGCATTGTAAACAAGTGTTTATTGTTTATTTGTGTGCACAGGATATCAGGCGGTTCTTTGGACCGGTGTCAGGGAAACCTGCTGTGCAGAAACCAGCCCCAAGTGAAAACATCAAACCAAAGAAGAAGAAGAAAAATTCACTGTCTTCAGATGATGATCTGAAAAAGAAAAAGAGCACCAAGGCAAAGAGAGAATTTTCTTTCACTGATTTAGAAAAAAAAAACATCTAGTTTTCCTTTTATTGTTCATTCTAATTTATGTATTTTTTGTTTGCTTTTAGGTTAAAAGCTCCAAAACAGAAGAACCACAAAAGGGGAGTGAGAAAAAACGAAAGAAGCGTGCAGTCATAGAATCAGGTATAATATATCTGTTAAAATGTGATTCAATGTTAAAGAAGAAAACACACTAGTTCACACTTTGCAACTATACAACACTAATAACAATGTTTTTTTTCTCTCACCACCTTTATCTTAAAATAAATTCCCTTTAATTGTTGATAGGATTATATGAAAAAGAAAACAAGGATTTTGTCCTGTTGAGTGTAATTTTTAGCTACAGAGCATTGTACTGGCTGGACCAGGGGTCACTACACTATTCAAAAGGCCAAATCTGATTTTGCGATATGAGCTTTTTTTTTTTTTTTTTTTTTTTTGCACATTCATGGCTAAGAATGCAGACTAATGCTGATGTAACCAAAGGTAGAAATAACTAATGATTTCTTCCTCCATCCTTCTTTTGCACATTTCAGAAACTCCACAGCAATATGACAAAACACCTTCTCTGCCGCCATAATTTAAGTGAAGCTGCGTCTTGCTTCGAGGCTAACCCCGCCCTTTTCTTTGCGCACCTGTGGGAAACAGGCTCAGACAGCTCGTAACTTGAAGGGTTGTAGTGTTCACTGCTGTTACTACAGCTTACACACTGCATCCACTCATAGAAATGTGACTTTTAAATCTAATTTTCCTCTGTCATGTGCTCTGAGTCACAGGCACCCTCTTAAATTAGCTGCACCGCTCTCATTCTGTAACAGTTAACATACTTTATTGCATCATGCCAAAGCATTTCAAAGCAATACAATAAAACAACTGTTCATTCTGGACTTTTAAAAACACCATACTGAATAACAGAGTTACATCTTATAAAAAGAAGTCTTTCTTTTTAATACGAGTTCCTTTTTCACCTGAATGGGCTTTTAAATAACTTCATTTTAACAGCAGGATACATTTATTTACTTTTTAAATTAATTTACAAATGAAATGACTGATTTCCAATCCTCGTGTTTGTTTTGTTCAGACTCAGATGAGGAGGAGGAGCCAGTGCTGAAGTCAAAGAAATCCTCCAAAAAGAAAGGAGCGGCCAGCAAAGCAGAACCTCCCTCTAAAAAGGATCCTGTTCAGTATGTTTCTGAAACAGGTGAATCACCGTCTTCATCCCAGTCTATGTTTCTACAGAAATACGTCTTTCACTTACTCCAAATGTTCTTTGTTTGTATTAAAAAGTGTTGTTTTGTTTCTGCTCGTAGACTCAGACAGCGACAACTTTCTGTCCTTGAAGAAAGTTTCCAAAACCAAACCGAACGGCACGGCCAAAGCCACGAAGCCAGATCCAGAAAGTTCTCCCTCGGGAAGCAGGGATCAGGTGAAATCTCCCATCAGGCCCTCCTCTAGTCAGGCCAGAGCTGGGCTGAAGAGTCCTCCTGTGCCCACGACCCCCAGGTCAGCGCCGCCTCCTCCTCCGCCCAAACAAACACCCACCTCCGTGTTCGACTACTTCGGCATGGGGACGATCCGCCGCTCGGACAAGAAGCTGGTAGCCAGCGCCAAACGAAAGGCGGTGAGTTCTGGTTTCTTATCTGCTGCTATGTCTTTACTTTGATCCAATCTTCACAGAACAAACCGACTTTGTAAAAACTCCTCTGTCCCTCAGCCGACTCCAGACTCGGACGACCTGATAAGTGACGAGGAAATGGCTCGGCAGCTGCAGATGGAAGAGGAGTTGGAGGTAGGCAGACCGGCAGCTGTTTCTGGATTTCACATGTAGTTATAACTGAAACAGGAGTTTATTGATGGGTTTGTAGACAGTAAACCTGGTTATTTATCATTCAGTGGACTTACAGAGACAGAATTATCTGAAATGTTCATTCCTCAGAAAACCTTTACAAATCAAAGGAAACCTGCGTGTTTATAAATTTATTTTGTTGCAGTAAATGTCGTAGAATCACCACAGGGAGCTTCTTTGTTTACAGGGTTCCTGCAGATCCTTAAAAAGTTTTGTTGAATTCATCAATCCAAAACTAAGGCCTTAATTAGCCTTAAAATGTCTTAATATTTTTAAGACTTCTGAAAGATTGATTTAACACGTAAATAGGATGATTATAATTCATTTCAAATATTAAAAGAATTGGTAAATTATTATTTTTAAATATTCACCTGCAGACATTCCTCGTTGACATCACTTACTGTTATTTCACATGCAAATATCTCAACAACTGTCCGTCTGAGCATGGTGAAATTTGTTTTTTAACATGTTAATAATGTCCTTCCAAAAATGCATTCACTTTTCTTGCAAAAATTTGATGTCACGGGCAGGTTTCATCTACAGCAAACTGGGGTTAAAACCCCACTGTGGGTCCTAAAACTCCAAATTGTGGGTCGTTAGAGGATTTCCAGAAATTAAATTAAGTTTAAAACTGACCGCTATGAATGCTTCTGCTATAGTTAGATATGGATAAAAACAATTGGTCTGTTAGCAATATTTTAATACTGAAACAAAAATACTTTGGTTTATGAGTTTCTGCCAGTTATTATTTTTATTTTTGTCATTTGTGTTTATTTTGAAATTGGTCTTAATTTAATTTCACTTTAAAAAGTCTTAAAAGGTCTTAACGTTCCTTAAACTGTAGAACCCTGTTTGAATAAAACGAGCAGTTCTATAAAATGTCACTTTTTTAGCAATAAGGAGAAAAATGTTTCCAGCAAAAGGAGTGATTTCAGCAGATTAGGCAGTTTTTAGCCAATGTGCCTTTTTTTATTCGTAAAACAAAAAGAACATGATTAAAGTTTAAGCATAAAGTAATACTTAAATTTCAGATTCCTTTAATGTGACACTTAAACATTCTGTATTTTCACTTACCTCTCAGCTGGAAAAACAGGTCCATCAGGACGAGGAGTTTGCCAGAACTCTGTCCATGCTGGACTCCGAGCCGCAAACCAAGAAGGTAACGAGTGCAGTTATAAAAAGTTACGCTCGCTTCTTGTTTGAGGTGAACATTTACAAATCGTTTCCTCCCCCTCAGGCTCGCAAAAGCTCTGAAGAGAAGCCGGGTCCGAGCACAACCCCCAAAAAGAGCAGCACGGCTCCCGCAGCCGTCGGTGGCACAGGCAGCCCCTCGAAGACCAGAGGAAGCTGGTCAGAGGTCAGGAGGAGTCCGAGGACGACTCCCGTCAAAACCAGCTCCAAACTGGCGATGATGATGAAGAACGACGAGGCGAAGGAGCAAGGAGCAAAGAAAAAAACGCCCACTAAAAATAAAATTTCTCCCAAAAAAGAGCCTCTTACTTCACCGGTCTCAGACATGAAGTTCACACCCAAAACAGGAACGCCACGAACAGAACCGAAAACCTCTCCCAGGAAACCTGAGGTGAGTCACTAAGAGGACTTTCAGATTGTGCTGAAAACAACCTACTAATAACATGAAATGACAAAGTTTTCACTAATCAGGTCACAAGCATCAGTCCTGAGGACGCAGAGAAGAAGAAGCTGCACTCCTCAGCTTACAGAAACTACCTGAACAGAGAAGGACCACGAGCTCTGGGATCCAAGGAAATCCCGGAGGTACGGTCCGTCAGCTGCAGGGTGAAAGCAGCTGCTCCTCCAGGAAAACCCTCCGTTGTTTTAAAGAGTTTGTATTTGAGCTGATCGTACGTGTGAACGTGGAAATGTGTCCTCCAGGGAGCAGAGAACTGTTTGGAGGGTTGTGTGTTCGTGCTGACGGGAGTCCTCGAGTCCATGGAGAGAGATGACGCCAAAACTCTGATTGAGCGCTACGGGGGCAAAGTGACGGGCAACATCAGCAAGAAGACCTCCTACCTGGTCCAGGGCAGAGACAGCGGAGTGTCAAAGCTGGAGAAGGTGACTAACCGTCTCTTTTTTTAATCTTTGTGCTGAAATGACGCTCTGATCACAAAATGTTTTCTAACAGTTTTGTTTTCTTCTCTTTCTCTACTCAGGCGGAGAGTTTAGGCACCAAAATCCTGGATGAAGATGGTCTGTTGGACCTGATCCGAACCAAACCAGGAAAGAAGTCAAAGTATGAGATTGCTGCAGAGGCAGAGGTCAGTACAAGTTTAATTTATTATAAAAAAAATAATTTTATCTGGTGATTAAATGTCCCCGATCAGTTTAAGATGTTCGTGTTTCTTGTGGCGATGCTCTGCTGTTCTCACAGAACCATGCTTCTAAGACCAGGACTCCCCCCAGCCACACCTCAAAGAGCACCCCCAAAGCTCAGAAGATCTCCCCCTCCAAGGGAAACTCCAGGTCTCCCCACACCCCGAGTCCATCCAAGACCGGACAGGCGCGGGGTCACGGTTCCAGGACCGGGGACGGCGGCACGCCACCCGGGAGGGGCTCAGGTCACACGGCTCGGAGGGAGCTGGGCCTGCCTTCCTCCTCAGCCCCAGGATCCTCCTCCCCCTCACCGACGGGGGAGAGTCTCCTTTGGGTGGACAAGTACCGTCCTCAGTCTCTGAAGGCTGTGATTGGCCAGCAGGGGGAGCAGAGCTGTGCCAACAAGCTGCTCCGCTGGCTGCAGAACTGGAACAAACATCACGGCAGCGGCAGCAAGCCGGCAGGTAGCAGACACTGAGCTGAAGTCATCTCATTGAGTTTTAGCTTTTAAAAAAAACATCTTTGTCTTAAAGAAAGTCGTGTTTAATGTTTCAGCAGCCAGGTTCGGTAAATTCGGAGGAGGTAAAGACGACGGATCAGGGTTCAAAGCTGCTCTGCTTTCTGGACCTCCAGGAGTGGGGAAGACCACCACAGCTGCACTGGTCTGTGAGGTCAGTGTGAAAACGCACATTTACTGCACAGTGCGTTGTGCTGTTTATGTTTTCTCTTCATTCGTGCGTTTGTGTGGTTTGCAGGAGTTGGGCTTCAGCTACGTGGAGATGAACGCCAGCTGCACCCGCAGCAAAAACAGTCTGAAGGAGGTGGTCGCAGAGTCGCTGAACAACACCAGTATTGAAAATTTCTACAAAGGTGAGTCATCTTTGAACTATTGTTTCAAAATTCTTTTTCTTTCCAAGTATAAAGCATGTAAAACAAAAAAAAAATCATTCTTGTTCAAAGTTAAACCACACTTTTATAAGTGACATTTCCTAATCATCACCTTCGTTACATAATAGTAACTTTTTGTTGTTTATCAGGAGTTTGTTGCATTTATTTGCAGTTCATTAAGTTCTTAAAACTGCTTAATATCCTTTTACCCTTTTACATGAGAGAAATATATAACAGGTGTGTGTGTGTTCCAGGTACATCGCAGACAGTGAGCAGTAAACACGTCATGATCATGGATGAGGTTGATGGTATGGCCGGTAATGAGGATCGTGGAGGAATGCAGGTCAGCACATTTCATTCTGTTTCTGTTTTTCGTTTCTGTTTGACACACTGGTTGATCATAGTTCTGAACTTTTAACTCTCTTTTATAATAACCAGCAGTGACTTTGTGTCTCTTTTAGGAGCTGATAAGTCTGATAAAAACCACAAAGATTCCCATCATCTGCATGTGTAACGACCGCAACCATCCGAAGATCCGATCGTTGGCTAACTACTGCTTCGACCTGCGGTTCCAGAGACCGCGAGTGGAGCAGATCAAGGTAAACATCGTCTTCCTTTTTTGTTCTTTCATTTTTTTAAAATTAATTAATTAATTTGTTTATTTTTTTGTAGCACTTCGAGATTTTTGATAATGAAAAGTGCGTTACAAATTAAATTCATTATTATTATTCCTCATCTGACAGCAACATGGACTCATTTAGGTTCAAATAACATGCTGAGGAAATCCTGATCAAATGTGCAAAATCCTTCTCTTCAGCTAACATTTATTCTAATCAAATGTTTGTTTTTTATCTTCAGGGAGCCATGATGTCCATTGCTTACAAGGAAGGCATTAAGATCCCGCCTCCAGCCCTCAATGAAATAATCTTAGCCTCCAATCAGGATGTCAGACAGGTAAAGAGCTCAAAGCATCGTGTTTTATCAGGGTTCCCACGGATCCTTAAAAAGTCTTAAAGGAGACCAATTATGGGTCCTAGAAATTTATAT